TGCAAAGCTCTCCGCCTGCTCGTCGGGATGCATCGCACGAGAAGCGCAAGGACAAGCCCTGCAGATCTTCGGCCACATGCAGCTGTTGGAAGGGGTCGCGGGCAACAACCCATATATACACAAAGGCCCTCTTGATTTACTAGGACTGCGGACTTCCGATGCCCTGCTGAGCACCTCGTTACGACGGCGCCGCTTCCGACGGTCATCGGAGCTGTCTGCAGCCTGTGGCTCAGGCGCAGCACATAATTTACGGAAGTTCTGTTCTTGCCCGACACTTGACAGACAGCGGGCACACCACTCCTCGCAAACCAACTCCAAACCCGCTGGGCCAGATGGCAGCGGCAGCTCCAGGCGTACCTCAGAGATCGAGAAGGAAGGTCTTGCTCAATGATCAGAAATTCTGGTATATTCTACATAGCAGAAGCTCGTAGGGACGCTGGCCCATCTTTGCGGTTCGCCCTGCGAAGGCGTCAGCTCGCGCAGTTGCCACGGGTCTGCGAGCCAGGCAAAAGACTCTAACTTTGCAGACTTTCTCTTGCTAGACTGACACTGGGACTTTGCCTCCATGCCTACATCTACTGAAGCAACATGGAATGCAAGCCGCATTCTCGCCTGGCCCCTTATTGGGGTGAAGGAGCCAGATTTTTAGCATCACAGCATAGAGCCGCAAATAAATCCATAGCGAGCTCAAGCCTCGGCTCCGAGACAAGCTTTAAGACTGTTGCGCCGCTCACAAGACTCTGACAGAGAGGTGCAGTTACAGAGACCCTGGCATTTGCTAAGCTCGCCCGGCCGGAAGCGAAAGACATGGCCTGGGGCATCTCCATAACCTGCCAGACAGGTGGGAAACGGTCAGCTCATCATCAACGAGAGGCCATCAATGACAAGAAGTCAGTAGTGCTCTTTTCGGTTCAACCAAGTGAGCTAGAATATTTCTTACAAATCACATCTTTTGGCTGAGTGCTGAAGACTCTGGAGCAACACTATACATTTTCTTAAAATGTGTTGTATATATATATATATAGATTTTGCGATACATTTGTACGGAGATATATATACACACATATACATATATCATAATATCCATACAATATATACATACGTATATATGAATGTATGTATATATACATATAGATAGATTCGTACCCCAAAAGAATATAAGCTTACTCCCTATCAGGGACGTGTAGCACCCCCCATTGAAAACAGAACTCTCTTCGCGACTTGGGTTCCCCTCCACTCCCACACCATGGCCTGACTCGTTGGTTCCGTTCTGCAATCCTGAGGTCAGCTGTTGCTGAACCATATATACACATCATATGTTATATGGCATAATAACTGTGAAATTATACAATTCACTTACTCTGACTCAACTCTATCTGTCTAACATATGTGTATGATGGTTATGCTGTCTCACACAGCGCGACACTTCTCTCAATTCGACATGTCAATGTACAAATCAGCTTTTCTCAGCTGCCACCCAAGTGTTGCCATGCGTGCACCAAAGTCCACTACTGTTGTGACAGGTCCTGCAGTGGAGCAGAGGCTCTTGACAAAATTCTTCAGGTTGGCCACCACCTCGTCATTTGCCATCTTCGATGAGTCTGCTGACATTGTCTTCCGGCCCTGAAGAATTTGGTAATCGAAATCTGCACTGAGCGATACACGGCTATCTCCTTCGGCGGAAGGCGCCTGAACAAAGGCTGATTACAATGTATAGTCCTCCTTCAGGAGATAGAATATGGCTTTGCGTAAATCATAAAAAGATCCACATATACATCATATTCTATCTACTTGAGGGTGACTAAAAGCAACAGCAGAGCGCGCTCTCGAAACATGATCACCAGCAAGCCCAAGGGCAAGGCTCATGCTCAAGCTCAAGAGGCTTCGGGAGACAGACAATGTCTGAACCCTCTATAACCATCGTAGTAGTTTCCATTTTCCATTCTCCCCATATAACCACCCCCAATATGTTATTGTAGTTTCCATGTTCTTTTCCATTATCCCCATATAACCCAATATGCTATAGTAGTTTCCTTTTCCATAATCTCCATATAACCCCAATATATACGCTGATATTACCCCAAAGGGCATGATCTTCAAACATTTTCGGGTCAATACGTAGTTCAGACAGGTAGGTCTCAATCTGGAGTGTGAGGTTCGGAAAGGAAAAAAAAAAGCTAACTAGCCGGGGCACATACTGAATCCATCATGCATGCATCCCAGGAAACAACAAATTTTCCAAACCACTGCCAAAGTGCCTGGACAAGCAGACGACGCGAATGGTGGAAGAGTCAAGCGCAGTGAGCTCCACGCCCAACATGCCACTGCACTTCACCTGAGCCATTGTCTAAACTCCTAGTATCCCCCTTAATAACCCCTATAGTAGTCCCTTATATATTCCCTATATAACCCCCCTTTAAGGAGTTTAGACTACAGCTCACCTCACGCACAAGCGACTGCCTGTGTCCTATTGCAAGCCTGAGACCTGACACCTTCGCCTAAGATTAACTTCCCTATGGTTTTGGAGATTCCTGGGCTCTTTAGCTCCCCTTATTATATTGATATGGACTATCCCTAGTATGGGTAGTTAAACCCCATCCCCTAATGTCAAATACGAGTTCCCCAGAATTGAAAATTCTGAAATGCCCCGCCCAAGACTACTTTAAACAGGCCAAGACTACTTCGGCCGGGATCCTCTGAATTAGTGGGGGTCCCTACTAAAAAGTAGGGATCTCCTTGTTTTCCTAGATTTGGATGGTTTTGAATTGTTTATGCAAAGGAATTTATACAGCATCTGAATGCGATTTTAATTGGGATTATTGCGATCTTCAATCGTTTTTGAATTTGTTTGTAATTAGATTTTACGTCAATCTCAATTGATGTTAGTCGATGATTGGTTTTATTTCACGTTGATATTAACGGTTTTGCTTAGGTTTTTGAATTGAAATTATATTTGCTTTATTATTTGTATTTCGATGCTCACTAGATTTTAATAGCTTTTACTACGATTTTGATTGGTTTTGCTACGATGTTATTGCGATAATATTGCGATTGTGATACGATTTAATCGTTTCTTTATTCGACTTAATCGAATTTTGTGCCTTTGAATTAGATTTACGAGAAATACTCCCCCCTAATATCATATACGGCTTGGAGTATATACATTTGGGGGGGGAGCCCTTTCATGTTAGGAGGAAAGGATTACTAGGCGGGTACATGCAGCTCTTTCCTCACATAGCCATGGCCCCCAGCCTGCAATGTTGTGGCACCGGTGACAACAGAGCTCCACACCTGCTCGGCTAGCAATGAGATTACTTCGAAGCTTCCCGGTGAATCAAGGCGCGTTGGACAGAACTGCCTTACAGGCTGCGAACCACCAAAATCCTAACTGCGATCTGCACAACGTGTGGAACCTCCTCTGTTGCCTGAGGTGCAGATCCACTTCTCCTGAGAAAACGGTAAGTACTTAACAAGCGAGTTCGCATGAAGCAAGCGCGCTGAGTCCTCTCAGAATTGCCGGAGGCTTGAGTTGCAACCTCAGCATCCTAAGCTTCACATGATCCGCACAAGACTTCTGCAACGAATGGTCTGTACTTTCTGACCCCTAGTCACTAGTCTAAACAATGCTTCCTGAGGTGCCTGGCCAGATGCTCAACACAACGCGAGAGTTCCAAGGCCTGGGAGCTGGACTTGGGAGATCTCCAATGCAAACGCCAGCATGCCACTTTGCAGGCAAACACGACTTCTCAGCTCAGAGACATTGCCCTTCACTACTGATCTTGTGACCAGCTTAGTTGGGTGACGGCCGCGGCCGCATGCAGGGTGTCGCCCAAGCGCTTGGTGCGGGACAACCTGGCTGACCAGACCAGAGCTCCGGCTAGGAAAACTGCAGAAACCCTAGAAGGCCACAGGCTCTTCTGCTGCCTAACAGTTTTGATCCTGCCTTGCCATGAAGCCCTGCAAGTGGTTAGAGGGTAAGACAGGTGAGCTACAGCCAACATTCCCCCAGAAAATGAATGGACATGGGTTCCTCAGTAAGAACTTTTTAAGCCACTGTACTAAATTACAACCCTTAACGGTCCCTCACGAACCGACAGTAGACCACCCTACAGCCTAAACCCTCAACCCTCAACCCTCAACACGAAACCCTCAACCCTAAACCCTCAACCCTAAACCCTAAACCTTCAACCCTAAAGCGTAAACTAAGACCCAATGCTGCCGGTCACTGCTTGCAGCCTCCTTCCCAAACGCTCCGCAAGGCGGCACGGCCCAGGGGACTGGCAAGATATGGAGAGCTTTCCCAAAATTAGGGGCACCTTTAAACGGGGCTTATTATAGGGGTAATATAGGGGCTATGTAGGGATAATGGAAAAGAAAATTGAAGCTACTATTTATCGTTTATCGTTTAGAGTTTCCCAAAATTTTGGGTACCATTTAATTTTGGGGGTCCCCAAAATAAGGGTTCCATTTTGGGGTCTATATTGGGGTCCGATTTTGGGAAACCACAATATGGAAAGTTTCCCAAAATTACCGGGTAGTTTTGAAGGGTTTAGGGGTTATACAAGAACATTTAGGGTTTGGAGTTTCCCAGAATTCGGGCTATCCCTTTCTGGGTGTGCCCATAATAAACAATATATTATTTGGGTGATATTGGGATACCCCTACTTATGGAAAATGTCACATCCTATCTCAACACATGCGCCATAGTCTGAACTCCTAGTATCCCCCTTAATAGGCCCTATAGTAGTTCCCAATATAACCCCNNCCCCTATATAACCCCCTTTAAGCTGACAAGAGCTTGGCCCATGATGACTTTGGTACTCGCTTTGGTCCAGGAGCGGCTCAAAGTCTAGTGTCGGAGCAGCTCACACTACGGGGTTTGCTGTTAAGGAACTTAA